CAAAATTTCTCTCTCTATCGTTGCGGGAGGGCCCGAGGGTTTGGAAAACCCAATTCATTGTACAATGTTGTCGTTTGGTGAGTTTGAAATACGTGTTGCTCGCCACGTCAACACCTCCTTGGGTTGCCTTCACCAAGTCGTCCACCATGCCATTACCCAACGTCTTACTGCACGCGTTCCCCGATACTCTCGACGCCGGCACACCAGTATCATCCTCGCCGCCTCCGTGAACTATATGTGCGTGGTACAACACTGTTAGTGGCGGTGACAGACGGGCTGCCGCGCCTAAGACCGTGGTGGGCTTAGAAGCGCACAAAACAGCTCTTGTGTGTAAAAGGAGTAGGCGATATGTAGGGGTGAGGTGTGTTGACTTCCGCGGTGCAACGCTAACAACGCAGCGAGGGGAGTGCCGTCTCCGAGGAAGCAGGCAGTTGTATTGTATTCCGCCACGAAGGCAGATTCAGATATGAGACTAAGGTGGCCAGCGTTGTGGATAGAACGATAGGCTGTGACGGATGAAATCATCGTCAAGAGGCTCTAAACGGTGGCTACCAGACATCGTCTGTATATCGCACATAGCCCTATCCTATCTACACCACACACAGTCTGCCCAGACTTAACCACAACCCAGACGCAACAGAGGACTCGTGCGGTTGTACAGAGGGATACATGTGCCCCGCGGCAGCCGTCGCGAATAGGAAGAGGACGTCGTGTCCTGTTCTTTGACGAATGGTTCCGCCAAGTTCACGTGCCTCGCGCTCTTCCTCAACGACATCCCGTTCGAAGACGAGCGTCTCAGCCCCGAGGCGTTCTAGGTGCACCAACCGCACCTCCCGTTTCAGCAAGAGCCGACGCTCACGGTGGGCGGCGAAGAATTGGACCAGTCGCACGCGATGGTCCGCAACACCAAGTACGATCGAACGACTTATTGTTTTTACAACTATATCCGATCGACTAATGTTTGTCGTATATATTCTACGTCTGCGCGGCCAAGAACGCAGCCTTGGCCTTCTCGAGAATCGCAATGCCGGCCGCCGACTCTTCGGGGTGCACGAGCTGCGCCGCACCGTGCTGGATTGTGTCGGCGACACCAATGTAAAAGGCGCCGTAGTTGCCCCGCTCGCTCACGACGCGCTCGTCCGGCTGGCCGGGACGCTCAAGGACGCCATAGTGCGCCTCGGGCTCGCGGCCCCAGCTGTCGCCGTCGGTCAACGGCGTCCGCCCCGCACGCATGGCGGTCGCTTGCCCGTCCTCGCCATACTTGATGAACGAGCCATTCGCGCCACGGATCGTGTACTTGGGCGTGTTCTCGACGAGCATGCTCGCCGTGAGCACGACGAGCAAGCCCGGGTACTGACACTCGAGGCGGAAGTAGTCGTCGTTGCTCGATCCTTCGCGCTGGCTCTGGACATCAGCTAACATAGTCAAAACATGAGCTCCAAGGTTGACATTTAGCGAAATGCGTACACGAAATATTCGTCGGTGGGCCAAAGAGCGTCAGCATTTGGTCGACGAGATGCGCACCGAGGTCGTAGAGGAGGCCGCCGCCGTTAACGTCTGCACTCTCTCTCCATGCACCATCTAGCGACGGGAGGAAGCGGTCGTAGAGGGCCTCAAAGTGCGAGAGGTCCCCGAGCGTCTTGTTCTCGAGCAGCTTGCGCACCGTGAGAAAGTCCGAGTCCCACCGTCGGTTCTGGAAGACGGTCAGGACAACGTTGTTGGCGCGGGCCGTCTCGATGAGGACGCTCGCTTCGGCCGACGTGACGCACATGGGCTTGTCGACAACCACGTGCTTCTTGGCCTCG